GGCTGTGGGGGGGGGGGGGGGGGGGGGGGGGGGGGGGGTTGTTAGCATCACTTCCTGCCTGGCAGGAGGAAACTGAAAACGAACCAAAAAGACTCTCTTCATTGGAGGAGCTCTGGGCCCAAAACCCAAAATATAGAGGAAATTGCCAAAAAACTGAAAATGAAGATGACTGACTACAGTTAGTTCTGTTGTTAATTCCCACATCAATAAAACTATCTCACTTATTGTTATCTATGTTAATCAGGATATTGATTTATTTTTTAAATTTGAGACAAGATGAGAACATTTGTTAGATAATCTTGTTTTGGTGTGTAAAATGTAAATACAACTACTATTCATTATGATATGCTGACTTTAAAAAAAAAATGTTTCCGTTAAATGAATTGGACTAATTGGATTTAGTTTATTTAGATCATATTGTGGCACGCAACACTTTTTGGCCTGGAGCTTGTGTTTTTTTTTCCGTAATCGAGGACTGAAGCAGCAGCAGTTCTGAGCTTCCTCAGATGTTTCAGCACCATTTCACTTTTATTATGACGGGTTAGCAGGTCAAAATCTGCTCAATCGGAAGGCAACCGCCAGCCTTTCATGACCACAACCCCCACACACCCTATAATGCCACATTTAACAGCTCTGGGTGTCCAGAGGGGTATTTATCTGGGATGGTGGTTTGATGGTGTAGTATCTGAAGCTCACAGGTTAAGCCCAGACTGTTCTGTTCGTGGAGCATAAACACTTAAGAAACACCCTACCAAAGTAGAGTGTAGGGAGGATGTTTATGGTATAGATCAGGGGTGGGCAACACTAGGCCTCGAGAGCCACTGTCCTGCAGGTTTTAGAGGTTTCCCAGCTTCTGCACACCTGATTCAGATCAAACTAATCTATTCTAAAGGTGCTTCAGCTCTGAACAGGACTGCTGATGTGTTGATGTGAATCAGCTCTGTAGAAGCTGGGAAACATCTAAAACCTGCAGGAAAGTGGCTCTCGAGGCCCGGGGTTGACCACCCCGGTATAGATATATTCTATTCCAACTGCACGGAAACGGCCTGACAGAAGACAAGGAGTAAATGTCTATGCTATGGATTAACTACATCCTGACTACATACCTGGATGGAAATAGCCTGGTATAAAACCAAAAGCACAGATATGGGAGAATATAAGGGCAGGAGCACCCAGAGTTGAGGCCTCTCCAGACTTGATGCATCAATCTGTACTTCTGACTTGGACCTGGCTGACAATAAAATCCTCTTTTTGTTTGACCAAGTTCTGCCTCAGCAGAGTTTTTCTTACAGCACCTTCACTTAAGATATTCCAAGACGATTGTCCCATAATTCACCACAATGGCTCTCCTCGGCTCGCGTCAGTAAGCCTGTGAGAGCCAGATTTGCTTTTAGCATTTTGTCTCGTAGATTGAAAACAACTCTGCCCGGGACGGCGTTGTGCTCGGCGTAACGCCGCGCTAATTAAGTCGCCCGGGCGCCGCGTTTAAAGCGCTTAACATCCATAGGTCGGATAGAGCTTCGGGGCGGATAACCAGCTGCGCTCGCCCGCGGTGAGTCGGCGCCTCGGCGGGGGGGCCTGTCTGTGCGCAACGTAGCCTCCAACCAATTAGCCCCATCAGTGGGGGTTGGGGGGGTTGGTGGGGGTTGGCGGGGGGGAGGTTGGGTAGCAGTTCCTCAGAGTCTGGCCCTGAACCCTGTGGGCTCCTGAAGAGCCCTAATTAGCCCTCCTGATTGGCTCGGTTAAAGTGCAACAACAACAACAGCAGCAGCAGCCAGACGCGGACCACTAAGGTGGCGCTTTACACCGGTAAACAAACAGGGCTTTTCTGTAATTGGCAAACCGTTTGGTTGGGTTGTTTGTTTCCGTGACACCGCTCTGTGTGTCCCCTCCACTCCGTGGAATCGTGGGATTTGAGGGAGTTTTAAGTCTTGGGTTTGGTCACGTGGTGTTGGGGGCGGTAGCCTGTTCACTCGCTAGGTGAGAGTTTTTATTTATTTTATTTAACCTTTATTTTACCAGGAAGTACCTTGAGATAATATCTCTTTTTAGTAGTGAGTGGGTGAGGGGGAAGCCTACTTTTGGCCTTATGCTTTACATCTAGTTGAATTAAGTTTTGCTATGAACGTTTACATCTGGATTACCGATTGTGGAGTATGGATGTCTATGAACCGATTCACTGACGTGTTTTAATGTTGGATACTTTAAGATTAAATAAAGCGATAACACGAAGCCTTTGGGCTTCCGTTTTGAACATCTAGCTCGTCTTCCACGTTAGTTTCCCCTATTCAGCTGCTCGGCAACTCAAAAGTTTGTTGATCAGTCGCCAATAGGCGGGTTAGCTAACGTCACCCCTCTGTTCATTGAACTCCACTGGTTACCTCTGGCTGCCCGTATCAAATTCAAGTCCCTGATGCTAGCCTACAAAGTGCTTAAGGGTACGGCTCCCGTCTACTTGAATCCTCTTGCAAAGGTTTATGTCACAACTCGATCACTCTGGTCATCAGTGGACTGTGGTCTAGCAGAGCCTTCACCAGCTTAAGACCATCCAGACTGTTTAAATGTGTCGTTCCAAGATGGTGGAACCACCTACCAAGCCACAAGAACAGCAGAGTCCCTGTCTGTCTTCAGAAACTCTTGAAGACCCACCTCTTCAAAGAGCATCTCCTATCCTAACCCTAACCCGTACCTCTACCCCCCACAGCTCCTTCTGTAGTCCCTCTACCTCTATCTCTATCTCACCACTGACTCTGATCAGTGTTTCTCCTCTGTATAGCTTATTGTCATAGTGATGAGAAATGGAATATTGTGTGTACTCTGTAAGTCGCTTTGGATAAAAGCGCCTGCCAAATGCACACACCTGCCTCTGCCACTCAGGACTCACCTTTCCGGTTGTCTTTCCCTTCTGTCTGACTGTTTCTTCCAGTCTCCATGTGAAGCTGTCCCATGATGCAACATGCGTCCCCAGCACCTGCAGTGAAGATGATGGCCACCCAGAGCGTTCCTCCACCATCGTACCAGGAGAGCCAACAGGTGAGGCCCCCGCTTCACCCAGGCCTCTCGATCCAAGCCTCCAAATGGGACGGGAAACTCAGATATTCACAGACGTTGGTCTGATTAAGGCCAATTCAAACAACTCACAGCTTTGAAAGATGCCACAAACTTAAAATGTCATGGCTGGTGTTTCAAAACCAGAGTCAAGAGCAAATAAGGCCACATTTTAGAAACCATTTTCATAATTTGCTGCTGCCATCTCAGGATGGGATGGTGGAAATGTTTAAAGAGTTAAGGGACGACATGTATATGAATGTAAAGTTCCTCCGGGACAATAAAGGGCAGAAGCATTCCAGTGAGTCTGACATGAAAAGTAAATAAAGAAAGGAATTATAATGGTAATAATACGAATAGGAATAACAATAACATCATAAGTCAACCCTCTGGTTTCATTTATTACAGCTGCAGGGAGCTCACTGACATCCTCAGCAAAATTAACCTTTAATCCCCTTTAATTAAAGTTTTTGCTTTTCTATTACTAAACCCCTCCATCTACACATTCAATCTGATTCAATTGGAGAAGCGGAACTGGCCTTAAAGCATAGTTAGCACTGTAATTGGATTGTTTTTTTTGTTTAAAAAAAAAGGTTTTGCATGTCCGTTGGCCCCAAAATAAACAAAAATAAATCAGATGAACTCACAGAGGTGAGGAGCAGTAGGAAATTTATATGGTAATATAATATAATCACTGGCCAGTGATTGGCCAATAAAGCATCAATTAAGGACATAAAAGATAAGGATTCTTCTTCAGTTAAAATGATTCATTCTCTTTTTAAAGAAGACATTTTGGATACTTTTGGCTAATTTTACTGAGTGAAACAGCCTAAACTGAACTGGTTCAACCGATATAAAAAAAACCCAAGACTTTTTACTTGGTCTAATGCTTCCCAGGCCTTTGCAGGGGTGGTGGGGGGGGGGGGCATTTTTCCCTCATCTGTGTGTGGTCAACATGTTTCAACTCGCTGGTGACCAATACTGACGTTTACGATCGGCCGCCCCGTGGAGACCCTCAGCTGCGCGGCCTTTTATGAGCAGGCTGCCGTAAATAAATGCAATTATTTGGATTTTTTGGAGCGCCGGGGCTCCGTTAAAAACTAAAACGACACACACAGACAAGCATGCGTTGCATTTAAAAAGTTTCGAGAGGATCAAACAAAAGTCACAAGGTGCTAAAGGTGCTTCTATAATGTTTTTTTTTACGGCTCCAGATGTAAAAAAAGAAGGGTTAGAATATGTAAGCACTTAAACGGGACTTTGAACTGGCATGAAATTGAATTGAAATGATGTAACAGTCCCATTAGGTCGTGTCCTGAAGTATGTTCTGCCATTAAAAAGGATTTTACATGCATTCTCATGCATAAGTGGGATTCGGAAACATGACCTCTGTGTTCAGCTCCTTTGTTAACGCTTTAAAGCCCGATCCAAGAATAAAACAAAACAGAAAATTACTTTTTTTTGGTTTTAAGTCTTTATTTAGCCTTTTAACAAAATATGTAAAAAGAAAAAACAAAAATAAATTTTTGATATTAATAATCTATTACTATGAGATAGGTCAAGATTATTTTTTGTGTAGTCTTCTGCCCCCTGTTATCAGGTGTATCTGATTGTGTACAATAGGATTTTGAGCAAAGTTTTTACCATTGAATTATGCAAAAGGTGTCAGACGCAAAACACTTCAGAAACCGTATGTATCAAATTCAATTAAATTCAATTCAATTTTATTTCTATAGTGCCACATCACAACAACAGTTATCTCCCAGCTTTCCAAACAGAGCAGGTCAGACCCTAATCTGAAGTTAATTACAGAAACCCAACAATTCCCACCATGAGCAAGCACTAGGCGACACAGGCAAGGAAAAACTTCCTTTTAACAGGCAGAAACCTGGAGCAATGATATTAATACTAATGATAATGGTAGAAGTTATGACAGAAATAACACTATGCAGAGTAGTAGCAGAGCAGGAACACGGGGGCAGCAGGAAACTCCCAACCACAGATCCAGACTCCCCAGCTCTAGGAAATATATCAAATATGATACGTTTGGCATTATAGGGTTAAGAAGGCGTCCTGACGGAGGGCGGAGACAGTTTTTTGTCTGGCCTTGTGCACCTTCTGTCCGAGCGCCTGACCCTCCTCCCGGTCCGACCGCCCTGAGGATTAGTGCCAGGGGAGCGCTCCCCAGCGGCCGCCCGCAAATGCAAATGAGAGCTAGTTAAGTGTGAAGAAGCTAATTTATTTCCCATTTGGTGCCGGGATTAAGACTGGAAGCGTCCTCCCACCGCACCCTGACTCAAACAGAGGAAAGGGGGAGGGAAAGACTCATTTCTGGAGAGAGGCTGAAGGAGAAAGAGGGAAGCGGTGTAAAGATTGAAGGCCGTGAACTGCTTCCTTTTGAGCTGCTACCCTCCCGCTCAGCCCTTAGCTAGCGTAGCGCACAAGCTAGCAGAGGTGAGCAGGTTCTCTGATGATTTAATGATGAACCGGTGGATCCTCACAGCAAAACCAATCCAGCCCGTTCCCCTCCAACGTTATGCAAATGCACCAACAAGCTGAGAACTTCCTCACTTCAGTGCTCACAAAGAACAAATGTGGCTTCAATGCATAGGCGGCTTTCATGGTTAACAGTTAGCTATAAACTTAAATTAAGACTTCTCCTATTTATATGGAATGTTTTCTTTAAAAAAACAATCCTAATTTTTAGCTGAACATTTAGTCCTTGTTGAACAAAGTCATAATTACTTAACAAGGCGGGCACGAGGTGGAGACATTAAACTGCCTGGACCCAGAACAAACTATCTAAAATCCACATATTTCACTTGAACGAACTGCCAATAACCACACGAAGAGTTCAGAACAGAACAAGCTTCAAAAAGATACTGTCTTTAGAACTACTGCAGATGATATGATGAACTGACCTGTGTATATATGTTGTATATTGCTACTCTTGTTTATATTCTTATCATTTCCTACTGTGATTTTTTTTTTTTTTTTTTTCAATTGATTTGTTCATAATGTAATGTCATTTCTTCATGTGAGGACCCCAGGAAGACTAGTGGCCATTTATTTGGCAGCTAATGGGGATCCTAATAAAACTAAACTAAACTAAACTAGGGTTCTTTCTACACAGTCAACATATTATGTACAAACTCCAGAGCCCATCCCAACTCGTTCACTGTGATTAACGAGTTCATTACCAGGCGTCTGACCTGTGAGGCGGCCGTTTGTTCATTCGTTCCGGCTTTCCTCTCGTTTTTATTCCGCCGGCGTCGGACAAGAGTTGCACCTTATTGCTTTGGAAAAGTGATTAAAAATGGATTTAGTCTTTACCGGCAGCCGTACGCTGGTGACAAGAAGTGGAAGAGTTACGTTCAAGGGTTTTACGTGATTGCATGTTAGCATTGTTGTCTCGAAGTGTCACTCCACAACATTAACTTGATTTTTGGCCTACTTTTGCTAATCTCCACTTGACAACGAGAAGACGTTTGAGTCATAACTAATTTGCCTTCCAGAGCAAGCTGGATAAGATGGAGTCCAAACTTCTTTGAACTAGCAAAAGTTGGATTCAAGCCCCTCTTACAGGGGATATTTTGCGTGAATGTTAGCATGAGACTGTCAGTTCTCGGGATCCCTAGTTTTCTTCATCTAACTCCACAATGGCTTTAACCTCTGGTTCAAAGGCTTAGGGTTAGGGTTAGACGTTCATTGTCATCTAAGAAATCAATACCGACATATCAGTAGCAAATTAACCATCTGAGCTCAGTTGCAATGACCAAAGTTTACCTTGGAAACTGTCATGCCAGTAGACAGGATGTTAGCATTGTTCAAAGGGTTAGGGTTAATGTTAGGGTTAGGGTTAGGGATATTTTATCATGGTCATTCAAAAGCATTTATACTGACATATCAGTATCAAATTAACTTGAGCTGGGTTGCAAATAGGGTTGTCAAAAGTATTTACAGAAAAGTAAATACAGAAAAGTATTTATACTAAAATGTTGTATCCTCATTTTCAAAAGTATCGATACCACCCCCGTTCTTTCTGATTTATTTATTTATGATCATTAACGTGACGTTAGCCTTGAATTGCTAACTGCGGCTAATGGCTAATAATAGCACGCCACCGGCGACGATAACATCAGTAACAAGTCAGTTTGAAACGAAAGACACTAACCTGTCAAAATTCTGTAAAATTTTGGGGTCTTTGTTTTTATCCTGGGGGTATTGAAAATGGTATCGAATATTGAATATTTTCCTGAGTATCGGTATCGAGTTGAACACTTTAGTATCGTGACAACCCTAGTTGCAATTACCAAAGCAATGACTCAGCTTGGAAACCGTCATGCTAGTAGCTAGCATGTTAGCATTGTTGGCTCCACAACATCCCTTTAATTTTTGCCTGCTTTTGTTGATCTCCACTCGAAAATGAGAAGACGTTTGAGTCATAACTAATTCATGGTTCGTTTCATTTGTTGCCAGATGACGGGCACCAGTCAACAGAACTCCAAGACCCCACAGGTCCACATCCCAGCAGCCTCTGCAGCAGGAAATACCTCTGTCAGCGTGACCCTTGACCCCCAGGCCCAGCTCGAGTCTGACAAAAGGGCCGTTTACAGGTCAGTTCAGCCTGTAGTGACGTGTTTGTGCATTACGGTCCACACATTTGATTTATCTTCACCAATGTGCTAACAGTCCTACGAACTCATTCGCACAATGAACTCTTGGAAACAATGATGTTTCCAAGAGTTTTTGACTAATGGAATATCTATCTGCCCCAGTCTGACATTTGAAATATCTTTCCTTAATTCTATGTTGGTGGAAACTATTTAAAGAAGTTGCACTTATTTGACTTGATGTGCTACCGGGGAGTTTTGCTAACCGTGGCACGTCATGGCTAGGTTTTCCAGTTCTTCCTTTAATTTTCCCCTGGTGCCAATCCTAAACCAAATAGCACCTTCAGTAGGTGTTTTTTTCACATGGAAACAGGATTAGGTTCCTCTTCTTTGAATTCATAAACTGACCTTAAAATAAGAAATTGATCTGACCAAAAAAAGAGAGAAATACCAAAGATAACCTCAATATTTGCTTTAAACAATGATGTATGGCATTTCATTGGGTAAATGGGTGACTTTGTATAAACCTTTAGCATGATTCCAGACCAGCATTGTAAAACCCAGTTTATTTCTCTTTCACGCCGACAGTCATTTTCAAAGGTAAGGATCACACTTCAAATGACAGAAATCTTATCCTGGAGTCACACTATTTTAGGATGAGAATAAATGTAGTGATAGCAAAAATGACTGGACTGCACAGTATATATACATATATCTATCTATATATATGTACATATACTTACACACACATAAGTTTATTTCTAAATATCTCAAAATTTTGTTTTTATTCAGCCAAAATCTGCAATTGCCTGATCAGATGTAAAAAACATTATGCAGGACTTTACATAAGTGTTGGTTTCTAGCTTTTGTTGTAATGTTTGGTTATAGGATTCCTCAAACTTGACCCGTACGAGACTTAAACAAGCATCTGGGAGAAGAACGACTACTGGTTACTGGAAGCAAAGCTGTTGTAGTGAAAACTGAAAGACTGAAAATTCCCTGTTAGTCCACATATTGTCTTTCTCCCCCACTGAAAGATCCATCTCTGTTTTACTCACAACTTTGCTTATATAGTTCCAAAACACCAGCTCTCCCAAAAAGCAACTGGTGATTGGCATAGAGGTTGGAAACACAAAAAAACAATTTTAAAAAACATTATTTTATATTTCGCAAGTGCGAAATTACATTAGTTCTATTTAAGCTGCTCTATTGCTATTTTATGTTCACAAAATCGTGGAAACAACGATCATAGTTCACTTGAAAATCAACAGAAAGCGACTGCACGGTGTTTCGTCGGCTTCCCGACTGCAGACGCAGTCTGGAGAAAAGCCGGCTTATTAGCAACCAATCTAAATGTAGATGGAGTCATTCTGTGGAATGGCTTTTTTTTTTAACCGTCGACATTAACTTTATAATTAGAAGTTAACACGGAAAGGTTTCTGATCACTTCAGCTGAATGAGTGTAGTTTGTGAGCCGAGCAAACTCGGAACGGCAGTTTTAAAAGTTCTAAAGTTGGCATTTTCATAGAATTTCAGCAAACGATTTAGATTTTAAGAATAAAACGGGACGTTTTTCTTAAGCTCATCGATGCTGGGCTTCAAATTAAAATTCTAAACAGGTTTTTATTTCTTTGTTTCCTCTCGTGAAATGTAAACCGGGTGAATCCCAAAAAAAAGAAAGAAAAAAAGAAGCCACCTCGCTCTACTTTGAGCTGATCCCTACAATATTGATGCCCCCCTTATAATGAAGTTGCATTATCTATTTATGAGGTAAATTATTCAAAATATACAGACATTTTTGTGGTTCTCCGGCGGATTCCCTGGAACAGAGCAGAAGGCCTGCCTAAGCTTTCAGGCTCCACCTGAGGAGGTGGACTCTCTTTGATGCGAGGAACCATGTCGGGGTCCCCGTCTTCCTCTTCCACCTTCGGCTTCCAGGCCTCCGCCCTGCTCCTCTTCCTCCACCACGCTCATTAACACGCTCATTAGAGCCCAGGCAAAAAACACCAACGGTAACAATGGCATTAAGCACTGTTAACCCTTTAAAGCCTGATCCAAGAATAAGACAAAACTTTTTCATTTCAGAAACTGTACGTATCAAATATGATACATTTGGCGTCATAGGGTTAAGTTCGGAGTATTTAAATGCCGCCTCAAACTATGTAGCTTCCCCGATGTCCTCTATTACTGCAAACTGCATGAGAAATCTTCAAAGCTCAATAGAAGAAGAAATAGTGGCACAGTGTGAATGATGGATGAGGATATTCTGTCTTTAAATGCCAGTGTCTCGTGGTGAGAAGAACAATACAAATTTGCTTTAGATTATAGAAGTTTTAATTAAAAAAATTATAGAAGAAGCTGTTTCTTTGGTAAGGCTCCAGTTTCACATCTTTATGTTACCATTTCTGCATTTTCAGAGTACTAATTTAGCACATAGACGTGCTTTTAGACTCAAATCTCACTCATTTTTGGTGATTTTTTAAGCAAATTAAAGGAACACATTTAAAATACACCACATGCAACATAAAAATATATAGTCACATTTTCTTTCCTCTTGTGCTGAATTCCTTAAAAAGACCAAATAAATCTGTTTGCAGCAATGACGAAACTTGTTAGTAAATTAGTCTGTTAGCTTAATTTCTGTTGTGAAGCCCACTGACGCCCCTTTGTTTGTGAAAATGTACCTAAAGCTTGCTTATAAAATTCTTATCGTTTACATCTCAGAGACTTTTAAGAAATTCCCAAGGTTGCGTCAGCATTTTCAATTATTTAGTTAACAAGAAGATCTGATGGTCTCTTCTGAAAAACATCAATTAGCTACTCGTTTGACGGGGAACTAGCTCAGCTAGCCCAGTTCGTCCATTACTCAAGAGGCCGGTCCTCGGGTTCTGGGTGAGCCTGGTCTGCTCTGGTGTCCAGCAGAGAGCAAAAAAGTATTTTACATAAAGACACAAGTAGGAGAACTCAGGTGCATTTAGTCAGAAACGACTTTTAGATGTTTTGGTTTGTTAGCCTGCGCGCTAGCACAGCTTGCTAACTGGTCAACTGGTTTGTTTACCTTCTCTTGGCTCCTGTGGGTCACTTTAACTGACCAATAGCCCCATTTCTATGGATTCTTTTTATCTGTAATGAGCTTGTTTTTACCTTTTCATCTTTTCTGGATTCCCTATTGACTTGGAACCCATATTTCTACCTGACTGTTTCTAATTTTAACCTCATCTTTAAACAAGTTTTCTGTTTAATGTAGAGTTTGAATGATTTTAGTTAATAAAGCAGTGTCTGACTAAGAAATAATAGCCACATATTTCAGACTGCAACACTGTGAGGATGTAATAAAGGAAGAAGCGGCATTTGATCTGGCTTATGGAAATATCTGGAAAGATCTGGAAATATATTCTAGACAAATGGCAGTATCACGAGTACACAACCAGTTAGCTAAAGTGTCTCATGGCCAGTGATTAACGGTGATGGCTGCACCAGCAGAGAGTTTCGGGAATGACTTTCCAACACAAGGAGCTAATGGCTAATCGCTCATTGTTACATCATTAAAAACACAATTAAATCCGACTTCACCTCCATCTCCCACAGCGAGCGAAATTACGCCAGCGTCTCTCTCTCTCTCGACGCGGCGCCTTTATGGGGGGACTTTCGAGAGCCAAATCAACATCTCTGCCATTTTTCTTCCACCAGTTTTGCTCGAGAAGTCTGTGCGGGCTCTAATGTTATTTTCATTAATTGCTGGATAGCGGTTTTACGAGGAGATATGCGGTTTCCTCTTTCCCCCGCTTTCCATCTACTTAGTTAATAGCAGCAGAGTCAGTGTGTGATAGGGTAATTAGCCTAATGAGTTGTGGCATTTACTGTAAAGATCCTTCTGGCTTCTTTGCATCTTATTAACAAACCGGTGAGACTTTTTGTTTTTCAGTTCGGAGATGTAACATTCGAGGCTGATTTGGCTCAGAGATGGAAATCTCCCCTAATTGAAAGAGACACCGGGATAGTCTGCCGTTTCAAACAGAAACGGCCTCGCGTATTTATTTTTTTATTTTTTTAGAAACGACTCGAGCGGAAAGAGTTGTGTTTACCAGAACGCGGCGATTTAATTTGACTCTTTTATGGGTTTGCTCGACTTCACGGCTTGCTTGTTTTACATGTCGAGAC